GACTGAATTGGGATGTATGCTACGTACGGCGATACACCTACAGCAGGCAGCAGCAGGCAGCAGGCAGCAGCAGGCAGCAGGCAGCAGGCAGCAGCACCCGTGCTACAGCAGTACCACACATCGTACTTGCCCAACCGGACGCGCAGCTTACCTCTGGGTTATTAGCAGCCGGGTTGGTGGTGGCAGAAGAACGTGTCCTCAATCCCTCATGCGAACCCTGGATGGCGGCGATGACGGGGCAGGACATAACCCTGTCTGCCCCGCAACCCCCGCTTCCGCCGCCTTGTGGTATGCCGTTCTTCCGAGCTGCGTTTCGCTTGCCCGCCATGATGGCGTCAGCCTTTTCGCGGGCCAAGTTGGACAAAACCACTTCGCTAGCCTCGCAGTAGCCTGTGTTCTCCGCGGCTTTTCTGCCCTTCCTCTTGCTGTCCAACAAGGTGGTGCGAAGCTTGATTCCTCGTTCGTGTGGGGACCACTTGTGGATAACCTCGTATCTTGTTTGGCCAGCATACATGATGCGTGTACATTCGCCAGCGGCAGTCACCGCTGGGCCCTGGCCGCGCAGCATTTTCAAGCCCGCTTCCCACCACCACTTTTTGTCTGACCAACTTTCTGAGTGGCTCTACCCCCCCTAATTCGACCAAGCGGAATCGATTGGCGACGATTCCCGTGGCGAAAAAGTTCGGCAATGCGGCGAAAAAAAAAGTTCGGGCTGAAGGGGAACTTTTTTTTTTTGGGAACTTTTTTTAAACGTCGTTTTTGGGCGTTTGAGAACGATCTGCGAAGTCAATTTTTTTTTTTTTTCTTCTCCGAGGTGGGAAAGGTGATTCGTCTTTAGCTCGGAACCCGCCTACTACATTGTAGCTGTGGAGTAAACCGGGGTAATAACGGACACCCCCCATTTACGGACATTTTTTTCAAGTTGAGGTATCTCCGCACACAATTCGCGGAGACCCCTGATTTTTTACTTTTATTTTTCTTAATATGACACAACGAGTCCATCTCTATCATAGAAAAGAGTCATAGATTAACAATCAATGAAATCATAGCGTCAGAGAAAACTACCTGTATGTCTACGATTTCCCAGACAGCATATAGGGACATCTCCCCTGCGGGTAACAGGCTCAACAAATCAGGTTGGTAGCTGTCTTGTGTGTCTCGAAATTGTCTTGAAATTTTCAGCTTTGCGTTAGCTTTCGTTTGAGCACTTCAGCGTGCCGATCGGGTCACGCATCCCCGAGATACAGCACGCCCCCACCCATACCTTCGATGAGGTTCATCTTCGCCCTTGTCGGGGCCCTGCTGCTAAGCATGGGTCGGGCAAGAGTAGACCCAGAGCAGGCCAAGAAGGCTGTCGAAGCAGTACGCAGCGGCAACATGAGCCTCCGGGTTGCTGCGGAGGCCTACGGGTTGACGAGGACCGCGCTGCATGACCGCGTGAAGAAGAAGGTGGCCACAGATGCCAGGCAGGGTTGGTCCCGGGACTGTCCTGAGCAAGCAGGAGGAAGATAGCATCGAAGATGTCTTGATCTACGCTTCCCGACACTTTTTGCTGTTGGGTCGGAAGCAGCTGAAAGATGCTGTGCGGAACATCTGCAGCGACGGACGCAAGGTGCCTTGGGACCCAGACAAGGGCCCGGGGGACAGCTGGCTTGAGGGGTTCATGGAGAGGCACCCGGGGTTGTCGGAGCGGGCCACCCACATCAACGAAGACGACGACCAGCACGATTTCAATTATTTTCGTCTGAAATGGACACTTGTGTTGGGTAAACCGTACTGGGTAAGAGCCAACCAGAGACTGGTAGCACCGATGGGCAGCCGCATGCGCGGCTGACGACACCCAACCAGACGAAGGTGTCCACGCAAGAAAGAGCAGATGGTCAACGCCGAAGAGTTGACCCTGCCTTGTACCATTGCACTTACAATCAGTCAATGTTGGTAC